ATTCCCACTGCCAACGGCTTGGTTCAGGTGCCCAGTATACCTTCCGGGAACCTGTAAGGACCTCTGCGCAGCTCCCGTGCCCACGGGTGTTCACCTCTGTCATCTGTGTTTTATTCTGCTGCCAGGTTATTTAGTCCTAAGTCTCGGCTCTGATTATAAAATAGCCACACAGGGTGAGGGGGCCTTGGACTAGAAACCCACAGCCAGCTCTGACTTGCTGCGGGATCTTGGGAAAGATTTGCAGTAATCTCGCTAGGTCTGAGGATCTAATCTTTGAAGTGAGGGGTTGGATCAAGCTCTCTGACATTCATTGCCTCCGTACTGTCTGTCAAAAAAAAAAAATCCTAGCCCTATTCTAACTCTTTCAGCCCTAACTCCTTTAACATACACACACCTTAGCCACAGTGAAATACTTATTGTCCCTTGATGCCTCCACCCCTCAGCTTGTACCTTCCTACCTCTGTTCATTTCACCTGCAATCCTTTGTCTGTTCATAGGGCATCCTATCCAGCCTCTGAGCCCAAGTTCAAATGCTGTCTATGAACGTTCTTGGACTCCCAGCTGAGAGCCATCTTACTCCATCTTCTCTGCAGGATGCTTTGCTATGTCCTATTGTCATCTGAGCATGCACCTTGCTTCCCACCAAGTTATTCACAACTTGAGGATCGAAACATGGCAGTATTCATCCTTGTAGCCATCAAGGCATCCAGCACAGTAGTTAGTTCTCAGTAAATGTGAAATCACATCCTTTATTCTTGTGTGGCCAACTCAGGCATCTTGCAGAGCTCCTCCAGATCACTCTGATGTGTAGGTCTGCTGAATAGGGTTAGGTAATAATAATAGAAGTGCCTTTGCCATTTGTAGCAATGTGAATGGACCTGGAAATTGTCATTCTAAGTGAGGTAAGCCAGAAAGAGAAAGAAAAATACCATATGATATCACTCATATGTGGAATCTTAAAAAAAGAAAAGGACACAAATGAACTTATTTACAAGACAGAGACAGACTCACAGACATAGAAAACAAACTTATGGTTACCATGATAAACAGGGGATGGGGAGGGATAAGTTGGGAGTTTGGGATTTGCAGATACATACTACTGTATATAAAATAGATAAACAACGAAGTCCTACTGTGTAGCACAGGGAACTATATTCAATACCTTGTAATAATCTATAATGAAAAATAATATGAAAAGGAATATATATATGTACAACTGAATCACTATGCTATACACCACAAATTAACACAATGGAAATCAACACAACATTGTAAATCAACTATACTTCAATTTCAAAAAATTAAAAAAGAAGAAGAAATTGTGGGTGTCCTCTAGGAACCACAGCCAGCCTCCAGGAGCGGAAGGTGGCTTCCAACCAACAGTGGGCATGAAGCTGGGGCCCTTAGTCCTACTTCTGCAAGGAAATCAATTCTGTCCATGACCTGAGAGAACCTGGAAATGGACTTTTTCCCTCCAGTCCAACCTCCAGATGAGATGTAGCTTTGCTGATCCTTTGAGGAGAAGGAGAAGGAGGAAAAGGAGTAGACCTTGGGCAGAGGATCCAGCTAACTCACTTCTGGATTCCTAGTCCATAGAAACAGAAGTTAAAAATACATATTTAAGCTACTAAAAACGGGAGGGCCTTTGAACTTCTTGGTAAGTCTCACTTGGAGCAAGCACTGATCTCATTCCAACCCACGCCAGGTAGGGGTTAGCCATGTGGAGTGTTGGGTGAAAGTTTCATTGAGAATCCTATAGCTTCACATTGAGGCCAGTCTCGCCAACACTCTCCTTGTTGTTTGCAAGATAAGGATGAGCATGTTCTGGGCAGAAAAGAGTGGTCTCTGTCTGGTACATCTCCTGATGATGGAGTGAAAGGTGGAAAGGCTAGTCTGGAAGAATAAAGAAGAAATAAAGGGAAGGAAGAAAATCCCAGGGGAAAATAACGAACAGTGTAGACCGAGACCATGACAATGGTCCCAACATCCTTTTTATAGCAAGATTACCATCTCCAGATCTGTCAACTTGTTGACATGTTGTGGCGAGACTGAGGCTTGACCAAGCCAGTGCCCATGCCAGTAGCTAGAATTATGTGGCTCTCTCGGAATTTACACAATGAACTTTGAGACCTTCCTCCGGAATGCCGGTTTTCCTCCAGGGCTGAGGGGAAACGGGCAGCTGTACTTGGGTGAACCTTTGCTCCCTCCTTATTGGCTTCCTCTCTCCACCCACAGCAACTGAAATCATTAAAATCCTGTATAATTAAAATTTCATCCAAGTTACACCAGTTATGTCTGCTGGCCGCAGTGAAGTGTATAAATATCTTAGAAAGACATAAAGACAGAGGCTGCTTCCTGCCCGCGGTTTCCCCTCACACAGGATGCTGTCTGCTATCCTGTCTGCTATGGACAGCCCGATGAAGCCTGAGCTCCCTGCTCCCACCAGCCTGCTCTCACAGGACCTGGGTTCCACAGGTTTATTTACAGGGATAGGGTCTAAAGGCCCCACGTTGTCAGATTTGGGAGTTTGCTCTTTCGGATCTCCCTCTTAATCTCTTTCCCTCCCCTCTTCTCTCTCTCCATTGAGATTGTGATCTCTTGCTTTTGCATATGTTTACATTAAAATGGCTAAATAAATGCCTCATCCACTCATTTAACTAGAAAACTGGAGTTTATCTCCCTGCCTCCCCATCCTCTACGCCAACATCAGATTAATTTGTCTGAAACAAATTTGCATTGTTATTTCGTGGCTCAAAACCTCACAGTGGTTTTGCATTACCGACAGGATGATGTTGGAAGTCTATGTAAGTTCATTCACTGAATGATGAATTCTGAGCAAGTATCTCATGCCAGGCACTGTCAGGGCTCTCTTGTCATAGATTCTCCAGCAGCTGCAGGAGGCAGTGAAAAGATGATCCTGCAGCTCAGTCACTAGCATGGGCTCCTGAAGACCTGGTGTTGTGGGCAGTCTGTGCATCTCTGAGTCACGGAATACCTTACCTAGTGTGGGTATCATTGAATTGATGATGGCTTTGCTGTCACGTCACCTTCACTGAGATGCTTGTGGCAGGTCTGAGATCAGCCTGTGTCTTGATTTGAGTTCCCACATAATTGACTTTGAGACAGGGATTTGAGTGCAAGCAGCTTATCTGGGAGATGGTCCCAGGCAAGTGAGACAAGAAGGGGAGAAGCCCCCAAAGATGGCATCAAGTCAGTAACCTTTAGGCAAGTGGAGCTCAACTCCCCTTGGGAAGTCCTGGAGGCAGTGCAGAACAGACCTCAGACTCATCCCAGTCGAGGCTTGGGAAGCCGGACATCATCCGACATGTGTCCCCAGAGGTCTCTGTGGAGAGCGGTTCCGGGGTCCTGAAAGCGATTGTATGTCTTGCTCACCTGCACGTGCCTGGGGTTGCTGGCGTTGCTCTAGACAGCCCTCTGCATGGAGAGGCGAGGGTTGTGGGTTATAGCAGGGGATTGATGGATTCACTACAGCCTGTAAGACCCCTGGTTCCTGCCTAAAGTGCGCCTTGTGTGGTTCATTCTCATTATTTGCGGTGATGTTCTATAAAGTCACCATGGACACCAAAGGATCCGATACTGAGCCATTACTCATAGAGGAAACAGATAGGTAGCTATGAGCTGTCAGTCAGCAGACCAACACATAACCCCGTTTTATGTGTTTCTGTTTAAAGACAGCTTATTTCTATACACTGTGCATGACCGCTGGGCTCAAGGCCAACAGCACTTTGATTCGTGTTGATGAATCTTGTCGAACACGTCTTCCTCATTAAGGCTCATCCCAGCCTTCTTGCTCTGGGACACTGGACGCTAGACAGCACTCTGCTTGGGGGCCATTTTAAACAATGAAATCACCAATGATAAGTAGAAAAATGACACTAAATAGACGGCGAAAAGGACACCTGTTTACAGTGCGAGAGCTGAAACAGGAAGGCAGAGCACAGCCTTCTTCGACCTCACTCGGAACGTGGACATCACGGGAATCAGGTTTTTTGCTGTTCTGTACGTGTCCGTGGGTGATCGCGAAAGTGCCTCAAGTTGCACTGATTGCAGGCTGACAAAATTTTTTAAGTAGACGAATTCGCAAAAGCAGAATCAGTGAATAATGAGGACAAACTGTATTTCACTGTAGGATAAATATGGTAAACACCGACCATAAGGCTTAGTGGGGTTTAGTAAATTGTATCCCATAAAATGTGGCCTGGTATTATTGTGAGACTCAAGAGGGTGACTAGAGTAGGCCTGTGCAACTAATCGGAAGCCTGTTAAATAGTTATCAGTTATCATTTAAAAACACCAGGAGCTTATGCTCCTTAATAAAAAAAATACTTTTGGATCGGAACAATTTGTCTCTGGCTAATTTGGATTTTGTTGGGGATACCAGTATCTTTCTTTGTACTGACACAGAGAAGTCAGTAGCTGAATTAGATGAATAGGCATAGAATTATTGAACTAAGCATCTTTCAGGTCACCTTCCATGCGTGTTGTACATGAAGGAAGGGTTTTAGAAATATGAACTTGTTTGTAAAATAAGAAAGGGAAGCAAGAGGTATTAATTTGTAGAAATAAGAGAAGAAATAAGAAAATTTATATCTGTAGGACTATATTATACATAAATTTTTATACATGTTATATAAAATATATACTAGACAAGTATATTTTAAATGCAAGCTAAACCAGTTAGGGCTGATGCAGTATTTGCTGGAAGCAATGGAAAGTATTGAGCAAAAGGAACTAGATTTTGTGGCTGATCTTGGACGTTGCTGAATGGCATATAGTAGGGTACAGTTGGATAAAAAATTAGAGAAATGAAAGTGCTCAAAATGTGTCCACTTTCTTTGGAAGGATTTTAGTTGTTTTTGTCTACCACCTCTCTGGGTTTAATTATAGTCAGTGCTTGGTTATGGCATGGGAGAAAAATGAAGAATTATTTCTGGATGGATTTTGAGGATAACATGATGATGCGTGGTAATAAACATCACCTGTGAGTTTCTGTTCATTAAATCCCACTAAGGTACAGTCTTTTACAGTGTTTCAAAATGAATGCTTGCATTCACTCATTCACTCACTCATTCATCGGTCTATACTGAATCTTCACTCGCTGGACAGCCTTCTGGGTGTTGGAGATACAGCAGTGAACTAAACCTAACTACTTCCCTCATGGAACTTACTCAGTAGTGGGGAGAGATGGACACTGAATAAATGCATATGCAAAGCAGAATTTCAGATGCTGGTAAGAGCAAGGGAGAAACACGGAGCAGGGAAGGGAGAAGGGGCTCCTTTTTGCGTGCTACTTCAAGTATTTGTGATCCTCCCTTTGACTCCAGATGCTCCTGCCAAGACCAGTCCCAGCAGACTTTGGCCAGCTCTGTGCGGCTCTGGGGCTTCCCTACGCTGAGCCTGGGACACTCCATGGAAACCAGCTCTATATTCAGACATGCATAACCCCAAAGTGCAGGCAGGAGGGGGTCAATCAATGCTTCTCGTTTTTGTCCCCTGGAGCTTTAGTTCTGATATGTATTTCCTAAGCTTTCCTCAAAGGCACCGAGAAGGATCAGTCATCTCAGCGAGACAGCAGCTGGGTTGCACATCCTTGATGGCCCTTCCCTCATTGCCTCTTTCACTCACCTGGTCCTGCCCTTCTGCTCCCTGGGATTGAATTCTCAAATAACTCCCTGCATGTAAGCCTTTGTTCAGGCTCTGCTTTGGGGGATCCCATGGTAGATGGAGAATGCAGCGGTTGGAATGGTGTTGTAAGTACAAATGGGGTTTCCAGGGAAGGCATCGCTAAGAAGGCGTTTTTGAGAAAAGACCTGAAGAAGGGAGGTAGGAATCATGCAGGTAACTGGGGGGACAGCGTTCCAGATTCTGGGGATGACAGCAAGGACAGGAATGGGCAAGAGAGAGTGAGGAGTAAAAGGAGATGCAGCCAGAGGGATGACAGAGACCCAGATTCCATCCCATGGCACCATTGTTAGGATCTGGGTTTCAACCCAAGTGAGATAACCAATTTATTCTCAGAAATTCTGCCTGCTTTGCCCCTTTCATATTTTATTTTTAATTTTATGTTTGTATGATACACTTGGATCCTCATTTTCTGGGCAGGTACATTGAATCTTTTAAAAGTGAGCTTCACTTGGTGAAAGCTGCATATTCCTATTCTCAGCTTTCTTGTGTTGCTACCGAAGTGGTGACTTCTTTGAGGACAGTGCTGCAGGTGTTATTGTACTGGATCCATGCATGTTGAACCTAGAGTGTCATTCCTAACTCCATCTAGTGAGCAGATACTTACTGAGTGCTGCTCTGTGCATGACCCTGTGAGACAGTAGGAAGATGTTTAAGACTCTAAGGAGCTGAGAATGTGATAATGCCTGATGGCATCTGAATCAGCCGGTGATCCTGAAAGTCTGCTAATTAAATATGCCATGTTCATTTTTTTCCCTTGTACATCATTTTCTTTAATTTTGCTTCTTTTCCCCTCCCCCTTTTGCTTTTATGGGAAGAACTTCTATACATGAAACCATATTCCTACTTATTTCAAATGTCATAAATCCTATTGCTGTTTTCAACTGTCTTACATTTCTTCTCTAATTTATCCCTACTGACTAGAGATGTAATTCTTTGGAGTATTTTGACAAGGAGAGAGAGAAAGAGGAGAGCTAACTATAGAGTGGGAATTCTTCTTCAATGGAGAGAAATGAGTAACTGGCCATGACTGAAGAATTTGGAAATTAAAGGAATAATGTAGATTTGTGCTCAACTAACTCTTCTACTTCCTATGCTCATTTGATGTGTCAGGGGTGAGAGGCGTTCTCTAAGCGGTGGACATGTCCCATGAATGCCTTCTTCTTGCTCCAAAGAGAGTCTCCCTTGTCGCTTTAGATGTTCTCTGGCCTTACCCTATCTTGGCGTTGGCTCTCTGGTCTGTACTGTTTAGTATTGCACCCTTTATTGTGCAGAGATCCTTTGTGTTGTGTCATGTGATTTTTGTTTTTAAGGGCTTCTCTTCCTTCTTGAACCGTCTTGGGGGCGGGATCCTCCCTCTCCTCCCCTGGAACCTGGGGATCGGCAGCAGTCACACATCTGAGCATGCGTAGGATTTCCCGTCTCCCGGAAGTTCCTCATTATTAACGCCAATCACATGCATAGTAGCATGTGCCTTGCCACTTCCTTTACTTTCTGAGAAGTGAAATGGTAAGGAAGGCAAGTTAAATGCAGACATTTATCAGATGACCTCCTTTCAGATGGAAATATCCAATATTTCTAGATAACTGAAATCTCTCCTTCCATAACTTGCCAGTGTGCCAATTTTATGATCAGTTTCAAGAGTAACTAATTTCTTCAGCATACTTCTATTGCTGTGCCTCCTTTGGTCCTCCCTGTCTATACTATACGCACCTATATGTGTTTTACCATTACCTAGATTTCGCTACTAAAATTTTATTCTTGTATTGACAGATTTCCCCAAAGGTTAGAGTGACCGTATGTCCCAGTTTACCTGAAACAGTGCTGGTTTATCTGTTGTTCCTCTGGTAACTAATAATTAATACCTCCCCTTTTGTTTTCAAAAGTGTGCTAATTTGGACTGTAAATTATGGGATTACCCTATCAAAGTTGTTTTTTCTTCCCCTCACATCCTGCATGCTCTCTCAAAGCCTGAATCCTAAATTGGAAATAACGTAACATAACAACATCTGTGCCCCCTGGACCTTTAATTTCCTGACCCGCACTTCCAGCCTGTGAGGATTTTCCCTGTCACATGCTCCTGGCAATGTCAAGTCCACATGTGGCTGGACTGTGCCATCCACCTGACGGGTTTTTTTTTTTTCTTCCTGGGTCTTTGACCCCTTCGTTTCAATGTGCTGCTTCCTCTGGCTCTTCCTGTAGGATGTGTTGTTTTGGCTGACCCTCATCAGGTCATGGTTGATGGTCTGTGGGAGGATGGGCTATACCTTTGGTACAGGTGAACTGATTCTGAGTCCCCTCTCTTCCTGGTCCTCTTCTTTTTCACCAGCCCGTATCCTGAGAATCTTTGATATCTGGAATTGTTAGTTTCTTCCTGGAACACTTTGCTTTGTGTAACCAGCAGGCATGCAGAAAAGAGTTGGCTCCACCTTTTCCACCTGTTCTTCAGACAGAGAGGCCAGCTTGGCAAAATAGTGGCCTCCAGTAGAGAAAAAGAAACCTAGCAAGTTTCCGCAGGCCATAGAAACAATCCTCGCTGCTTCCCTACTTTTTGGAAAACAAGGTGTGTTGAGTGTCAAATCCTTTGCATCTCTCTTAACACCTCCCGGAGTGAGCTCCTCTCTACCTGCTCCAGATGGAGGAAGGCTGGTCATCTCAGCGGTCAGTCATAACCTTGGAGTCAGACAGCTTTGGGTTTCATTCTTTACTCTGTGGCCTCAGGCAAGTTACTGTATTTCTAAGTTTCCTTGTTTGTAAAATGAGAATATCAATTCCTATCTTGTTGGCTTTAGGGGAGAGTTAGATGAGATCATGTATACAGTATGCTGAGAATTGTGCCTGCCAATGAGTGTAAACCTAGTATATAGTTGTTTTTCTTACAATAATGACTATTAATTTTAGTATCAGAATTATAGTAAACCATCAGTTCATCAGATTCTATCTTATGAAGTTGACAGCAACAACTAATGCAATGACAAGAACTACTGAGTGAGGTTCTAAAGCAACCTCGCTCTGTTCTCTTGGGCGACTATTGGTGGCTGACAATACCAGAGTCAGCGGAGCATCCCGTAGACCGTGTGATGGAACAAAAATGATTCTGTGAGTAATTAGGCAGCTTTGATTTTTGTTTTTCAGATTCTTCCCCCTTTTAACTCAACAAGGGATAACGTCCACCATAGCTTTTCTTCTTGAAGAAGGACAGCATGGGGAGAATGAAGGGTGAAGAGAAACCAGCATTACAAGTAGCTCAAGTTTGTAGGCTGACCCACTGGGGACTCCCAAGAAGGTCTGTTGGTTCGCCCAAGAGTGTGACCCCCAAGTGAAATTTGAGTGCTTCTGTTGAGTTACTTCTTTCCTTCTGGAGGCCAGGGGCAAATTCCTGATACTCCTCCCCTCTAGATTCTTGGTTCTTTGATTTTCTTCCCATTGTAAATTGTCTACCAGACACTATCTCAGTCCAGACCCATAACCAGCTGAACCAACGCCTCCTAGAAGAGCCTATGATGACTCTTGTCAGCTGGTAGAGTTAGAGGGTCCTGTTTTTCCTCTATAGCCAATATTTCCCTTATCATGAAGACTTGTATTCAAACGGTATTATTTCTTTTTAGAGCCAAATGTATTTCTCATTTCATATTGTCAGATGATCTGATTACTTCTGAGCACCATCTCTAGGTAGGGGAAAGAGCAGATAAACTGAAGCCCACAGTGCTTAAGTGACTCTCCAAGATCTCATGATGAGTCAGGAAACCAGACAGGAATAGAAACCACGACTCTAGCCTCCCAAACTGTTTTTCTGACCACCAGACCACACTTCCTCTCCAGACTATGAAACACTGGAAAATGGGAGTCAGGCAGAGAGTAAATATGGAGGCGAACCCACAGAAACACAATTTTACTTGTACCCAAATCTTGTCATTTAGCAAAGGAAAACAGAAAAACACCCCAGTCTCTTTGCTGTCATCAAAATTATAACCTAAACCCATAAGGGATATAGAATAGGAAATGAGTCTGCCCTAAACTGACATACTTTTTCCATTTAAAATGAATTTGAAAAGATTGTCCATCTTCCAGTCCTGATGTGTTTTTCCCTTATGCAAAAGGAGAACCTAAGCATTCAGAATAGGTTTTATTTAGGTTCAAGTGCATATAAGTAAAATACCCGTATTATTCTTATTCTTCGCATGAGCAAGACTTTAATTACTACTTATTGCGTGCTTAAGGCTTTGTGGGAGCAATAGGCTTATTAGACACACTCACTGTCCATAAGCTTCATATTTAGTTGGACAGAGACCGTATATACCCGTGACGAACTGAAGGCAGTTGGTGATGAATATCAAATGAGCAGGAGTGATTGAGAAGCGGTGCCTGAAGTGCAAAGCTGGAATCACAAAGCAACATTTCATGAAGACTTGGGTTTGAGTCTCAACTGTATCGCTCGTTAACTCTCACTCTTGGACAAATCAGATTCTATGCATCGACAAGAGGCGACAGCCATTGCCTGGCTGTCTTCCAACAGTGTTGGTGTATAGACCAACATGAGACAATGCGTGTAAAATGGGCTGTGAGCTGGAAGATTAAAATGTGGGAGGAATTCAGATCGTAGGCGTTGTCAGAATCAGGCCAGGGTTGCACAGGCAAGCCTTTCTCCTTTGTTTCTAGAGTCCTCAGTGATACAGTTTTCAAGGGCTACATAGCCTGCCCAAATGGAAATTAAAACAAGAAATTAAAAGCAGGCTCCCTTTGAAATTGTTTTTGGCTATGAAAATAGAAAATAACATAATATTTCCCCTTTGGCAAATAGCTCCCTGCCGCATCCCTTGGAATACGGGCGACTGAGAGAGCAGAACACCTGCGTGAAATCAGCTGATGACGGTCGTGTAGAGAGAACTTTTCCATTTGGAGGAGCAAGACATGCAACTCAGGGGAGCCGGGTCCTCTGTCCCGTGGGACACAGAATGCCAAAGTCCTGCTCACCTGTGGTTCCCAGGAAGCAACAGCATTTCATCACCCAGACTATGTGGCAACCAACTGGAATCCTTGAATGACCCTTCCATGGAAACAAGCTTGACACTGTGTTCAGGGCTTCCATCTGTGGGTGAAACTGGGTATTGTTGAGATAGGAAACTTGAGAAAAGGCAGAAATTGACTTTTAAAATTAGGCAGAGAAAATTGACTGTAATTATTGTTCAGTTAGAGCCCGTGAGGACATTTTAATTCCATGTGAGTTTTCTTAATCCAGGGACCAATTAATTGTAAAACTCTTGTCTAAGAGTCTTTATTAATCTCTGTATCAAGACATTCTTTTACAGCAATAATTCATTACCTTTTACACTGAGCAAAAAATGTAGATTTCTGCTGTTGACTGTGTGACCTCAATTAGGAAATCAAAAGACAACTATTTAAAATTGTCTTCTAAAATACAGCCATTAGAATACAATCCCTGTCTTTCTCTCGGGGTCATGCATGGCCGAATGTAAGTAACACTGTAGAGTCCCTGTGGCAGAAGTAGAATAATAGGCAACTTTTAGACCATTATGCTCTGGCGCCAGCCAGCCCTCAGGCGCATCATTTTTGATTGTGAAATTTATAGGAAAAGCTTTGTGGGTGGTTGTAATATATTAGCACCACCTAGTGGTGATGGGCAAAGCTGCCTTTCCTCACTCCCCAGGACCCCACCTCCATCAAATTACAACAAACAAACAAAAACAAAGCGTAAATACAGGACAGAAATAGACTCACAGACAGAG